ATTCCTCTCTCATGTTTTTTAGTTCCTATTCCATTATCAGTCTTTCATTTTAAAATAAAGTTTTTGATGACTCATGATGTCATCTCCCAATCCTTGCAGCCTGACCTTAGCCAGCTGGTGCTACAATCATAACCTAGTAAAACTCTACTAGGTTTATATAATAGGCAAGGAGAATACTTTTGTGTCATGTACAAAGAAGAGTGAGCGCTTTGATCACTCTACCAAAATTAATGCACAAATTAACTTTAGTTGTCAATAAAACATGTTTGCTTTTATTATTCTGGTGCCTGCAGTTTGTACCAGTTTAAGGTGTACTTTCTCGCTTCAAAATATATATATATTTTTTCCAACTTTTCACAGCAAATATAGCAAAACCACTCTGTCACTGAACACAAGAGCAACACCACTATCAGATGCATCTGTAGACACTTTATTTGACGGGCCCCTAAAGTGCATCATGCTCATCTGAACTTAATACCGGCAAGCATTAAATTTGGTTCGGTGCGATTGTTCACATTATTCACTTGAGTTGTCTACTGTTATCTTTTCTTTTATAAACTCTGTAACAATTTGTTAACATTTCCAAAAACTGCTCTTACCGGTACTCACATAGTTTAATATTTTACTTGTTAGAGAGTAAAATAATTTTGGCATTTGGAAAATAAGTCCATTTGTTTTTACAGTAATTCCCTTCCCCCTAAAACACAAAGAGGTAAGTCAGTTTCAATATGTTGGCTGACAACCACAAAACTAGCAATTAGGCTATACTTAACAGAAACAACAATTTAAGAGCCAAGCTAGGGGTGCCCAACTTCATTAAAATGAAATTCCATTGCTTGTTCTGCTCTACCTGCACACCCTTACTCCCTGCCAGCAACACTCTGTGGCAAAACAATAGAAATATGGAGCGGTTTAGATTATGGTCTAATGTATTTACACCATTACAATGTAGAGGCAGAGAGGAGGATTTAGAATACAGGTGTAAAGGGATTTTAAGTGATGCAAAGATTTTTATTTACTAGTTTACAGATTGAGACAAGTAAAAGATGCTGAATCTTAAATAAGAACTCACATGCATGCAAACACATCAGTCAACCTCCTGTTATTTATCAGGTTGGAGATACAAATTTAATTGTGAACAAAAAAGCAAGTTTGCCATAACATTTGTATTTTTTGCATTTTTTGTTCACTCTCCAACTAAAAGGACATATTTTAGCCCCAGGAGGTGCAAATCAGATTTTTTTTACTTTTGTTTTTGTTCACGGAAAACTATAAAAGTGCAGCACTAGGTTATTATACTTCAAGAATCTTACAGAAGCCTATGTCTGCTCTAAATGTTCAAGTTCTCAAATCTCACTGCTATTTTTACCAATACAATTCTAACACTTTATACCTAGATCACAATAATATATGAGTTTCTTCTGACAGGTTCTTAGATGTGGACTCATGTTTGATCAAATGATTCATAGCCTACACTGCTGCCAATGGCATCTAAAGGAAATATTACCAAGATATACTGGAGCTGATGGTAGAAGAGAGAAAACAGAAGAACAGTTTTATTCAGTATTTGGAACAAAGCAACTCCAAACTGAACCACTTTTATCATTTTTCAGACCTCCTGACAGGAAGAAAATTCATGACTTAATCTGGTAATAATTGAGCCAAAGGTTCTAGATAGTTGACCCCGGCCCAAACTAAATCTGCCCTCAATCTTAGTTAAAATGCTTGACACATACTTTGGATTTTCTCACTGCAGGATACTGATATATTAACCTTGTCTGACATTTATTTATGCCTCTTTCTATTGTTGAGTTTTTCAAAATCTGTACAATGCTTTAATATATTCTGCTCTCTCTTCTTTCAGGTTTTTCCTCCCAAGCAGTTTTTTATTAAAAACACAAGGATAATCTTTCATTAGAATACCAGAGCAAAAAGTGCATGCATGCATGCATGCATGCATGCCCTGGAGCAGGGTCATAAGTAAAAGAGAGGCATTCTGAAAACATTTCTCATAATAAAGCCCCTGTAAATTAAAGCCACTTGCTGTTTTGCTCCCAAAAATAAGTCAGGCATGGAATGTAACTTCTCTGCCCGAATTAAAGTGCTGACAAATGTTTCTCTGCTGAATCGTGTAAAAGTAGAAAGTAAAAAAAAAATCTTAATGATATCAAAGCAATTACTATACAGATATGCTTATAAAAAGTGGTAGAATCTTTTTGAAGAATTAAAGATTTCATCTCTCTTCCTGACAGCTGCAAACGGCACCTTACCGGTTTCATTAAATAAACTACCAGTACAGACAGGAAGCAAATCAGCAGTATCTCAGGTTTGGATTCGCAGTGGAAAAATAAACTCTCTGTGGAAAGCAGATGCCAGAATGAGTTATGCATTTTATTTCTGCTGAGAACACATGAAGGACAGAGTGGCCAGGGTTCTCTGTCAGTATACAAGTATGTGTGGCAGACATGTTAAAAGACTAGTTTACATGTTTTGAAAATTACGTTTCCCTTTTTTTTCTGTCAATGAAACGATTCAGTTCAGAGCGGGAAACTATGAGCAAGAGCCAGAAGGTTTTTTTAATTAAAGAGGAAAATATAAACTTGAAGGTTTTTCTTTTTCCTATCCCTTTTTAAGGGATAACTTTGTGACTGAAGCCTTTCTTTTTAAGCAATTAGGAAAGTGTGGTGTGCATCTGTATGCAATTTTTTTTTTTAGATCTTAGTCTACATACAGCTGTCTGTATGTCGANTATATATATATATATATATATATATATATATATATATATATATATATATATTATATGTATGTGTATGTGTGTGTGTGTGTGTGTGTGTGGTCGCACTTATATACTGTATATATCCCCTAATCACCTTTTCCTCCTTTTGGCACCTTCATTTTACTGTTGAGCCGATGTGACAAGTGAATTTCTCCACCGTGGGATCAATAAAGTCAATCAATCAATCAATCAATCAAACAAACGGCATCATGAAGGCCAAGGAACACAGCACAGCACATAGAACAGGGAAAACATGGTGAAATTTAAAGCACAGGCCAAGATCCTGAATCTAACCCTCATTGAACACTGTTCATGATCTGTAAATTTAAAAGAGATTACAAGGAACTTGGGCAAGGAGTGCACTAAGTTTAACTGTGGGGTTTATGTGGGACATTCACAGCTCAGGTGAATGAATCTGTTGACCGTATTACTAGTCGGCACTGTTATAATTTGGCCTTTAGATTGTAATGGCTCAGAAAAGCCATAGTTGGGAGAAAGATCCATTAAAAGTTTGCCACAAGTCATGTAAAAAAAGATATAATGGACATGTGTAAGGAAGGGGCTCCAATCTAAAACTGTACTTTTTTAGGCTAAAATTAAAGTGCTTAGAGTAGGAAAACTAATACTGTACATAAAACCCTGAACATTGACCATCCATTCACAAGAGTGCTGCATCATGCTGTTCCATTCCATCTTTTTAACTGAGAACATGACAGCTGTTTAGAAGGAAGGTGAGCGAAGCTGCTGGACAATTCTGGAAAATAATCTTTTACTTCAGACTGAAACTTAGTTTTATCTTCAAGCAAATCAATCACTACCATCAGAGCTATGGCAGGAGGAAGGACATGTATGCATTTATGTATTAGAATTCCGGTCAAATTCCCAACCTAAATCTTAAGGAGAGACTTTTGGAAGACTAAAAACATGTGTTCCCAGAAGCTCTCCATTACATTTTACTGAGCTTGATCTATTTTGCAAAAGAGGACAGGCAAAATGTTGGTCTCTAGCTGTGCAAAGATTTAGTGCTGTAAATTAGTTTTTTCAAAATCATATTAAATTTCCTTTGCAATTTCAAAGTGTGAAATGCTAGATATTGTTCAATGATAAATCAATTTAATATACTATATTTAGTTTTATGGTTAAAATAAGTTTAAAGGGTCTGTGTATGTCTACAAGGTATAGTATTTCTCCGCAGTATTTATGCTCAGCAGAATGAATTAACACATAATAAAGTCTCTGAAAAGTTTGTAAGACTATATTCATTAACAGATACTTAAAAAACTTTTTGTGAAAGGATCTTTTAACCTCGAAGCTGATTGCGCACAGCTGTTTAGTAACCAAAAATGAAACCGCTGCACAAAAAGTACATATGCTTTCAATAAATAAACGTGGGCATTAATTCTGTTTCAGTGACACGCAGATGTACATAACAACAGAAATGTTTTGCTTAGGACTGAGAAAATCCAAACTATTTCCTTATTAAAGAGCAGCATCAACATACACAGATGTCAAGCAAGCAAGACGAGTGTAAACTGAACGTGATGACATGTAGTCTGTGAACTCCTGCTGTATTCACACCTCTTGACATATGGGGCCTAATGCTTAAGCAACACACAAAGGAGCACTAAAACACCTTGTAAACCACACAAACTGAAATACAATGGCTTGACATTTGCATTGGACTTCAGGGCCAACTAATACATCATCCTGAAGTAAACGCACCATGTTTCAAAAAGAGGTAATGGAGAAGGAGTTGTATAAGTTCACGATCTTGGATATCCACCAGTCAGGACACAAAAAATATGTTGGAAGACTTCTGATTAATCGTCGGCTAAACACAGTCAGATTTCAACAGACCCTTCTATATATATGTATACATGTATATATACATATATATAAAAAAAAAAAATATATATATATATATATATATATATATATATATGGCGAGGTTGCTGACTGACTGTTCAGGAACACCTGGGGTTTGCATTTTTACTGTACACTGTTGTGTTATACAAGAAAAAAAATAACAATAAAGAAAAAAAAAAAAAAAAGAGGTTATTTCTGGGAAATTTTGGTTTCTGTTTGACCTCAGGGATTAATGTGGTTGGTTTCTACTCCAAGCAAAATACTACAACCATAAAACGGAATAATATGTCCAATGTATCAGTGAGAATAAACCTAAAAGGAAAAGCTGGAAATGAATGAGGCACCCAATGCTTACCGAACCGTTTATAGCCGAAGGACTGCACCTCCTCTTCATCTGTGAATTCGTCTAGGGGGATAAGAAGAAATTGAAAAAACATGAAAAATATTTTCAGGCCAAAAAGAAAAATATAGTTCAAACCTTTAAATCTGTAGGTCATTTACAAATGATTTTACATAAGAGGCTAAATAAATCATATTCATGTTTATGCAAACATTTTTCAGTAAGCAGACTAAATGCAAGCCATGTGTTGACAGAGATAAGTGCTCTTTTAGTGCAGTTTTATCCGAACTGCACGGAGGAATGCTAAAAGAAAAGATGCATATTTCCAAAGTTCTCTGAAATGAGCTACTAATCACAGTTACCACATAGCAGACCCCATAATGAGTTAATGAGTGAAGCAATAATTCAAGCTGTTGTTAAACATCCGAAAGAAGAGTTTTGGCTTTCCCGACATCTCCACTAAACTTTCCTGTTTATGTTTATGGGGGACGTGGTTGTGTTTGTGTCTCATTTTAAAAACATGAGCATCCTTTGCTGTTCATTAGACCTTCAGAGAAATCAAGCTTCCTATTTATTTTCCTCCACATCATTCATTTAAAAATGTGAATCTGAGAGAAAGTTGCTTGAGTTTTGTTTGCATAGGCTACAGCTGGACTATTTAAGAGGAGATTGCACAACGTTAACAAAACAACAGATGGGGATTTTATTCAGTACTACTGTTAAAACAATTGACCTCTCCTTACACTGTAAGAGCAGCACATTTAGAAATATTATAAATTTACAAAGCTATAGATAATTCAAGTTATTTTGAAAAACCTAATACCCCTTATAACATTAATACATTTAATTGACCAAGCAAATAGAAGTTGGATGTTTCAACCGCTTCAGTGGCTACAGGTGTAGTAAGTCTCAGCACCTATGGATGGAGAATGCTTCTACAAACATTTATGAAAGAATAAGGCGTTCTAAGGAGCACAGTAACTTCCTGTGTTCTGTCAGATTAGCATGTTATTGTATCACAACAATATGCCATCTGTGAAAACAGTCCATTCTTGTAATTTGCTACCAAATTATATGAATTGCTAGCTAATTTGCTAGATTTTAACAAAGACAAACTGAACAGCAGCAAGTCAATAAAGAACTCTTAGTATGCCATTGTTACAGTGGCCGATGAGTGCAATGTACAATGCGACACTACATCTACTATGGCAATAGCTTGTGCAATGTACAATGCAACACTGTATAATGTGCACTTTACCATTTGATACCCTGTGCAATAACTGTTTCTCTATATTTGACACCCAGTGCAATAACTATCCATTTATATAAACACCCATGTAAACACCCAGTGCAATAACCCAGTATAATGGTCCTACTATAACAACAAATTAATTTAAAAAAGCTGTATGTGGACTCACTGTATATACAGTATATTTCCAATGCACTTTTCTTCTTCTTTGACTATTTGAGCTGATGTAACAAGTTAATTTCCCCACTGTGAGATCAATAAAGTCAATAATTTAATCAATCAAATAGATTATTTCACAGTAAATTTGAAGTCACGCAAACACAAAAATGAAGTGATTTAAAGGAGAAAATCTTCAATCACAGAAAACAGAGCAGCAAGTGGTAACACCTTACAAACACAAAACCTGGTGTGAATACATGAATAATTCCAACACGCATAGCATATGGAGAGGAAAAACGCTGCAAGTAATAAAAAGAACGGCAAGTTAAGAAAAGGCGCATAAGTGCTCCAGAACACTGGGGGCACTTTGACTCCTATGGGATCAGACATAGACATTGCTACAAAATGTTCTTAAAGACCAAAAAAATAAAACAGGATGCCGTCCATAAGAACATTTGGAGGGAAGAAAGAGAAGGTATGTTTCCTCTGAACCTGTTCTTAACACCCAATTCTTCTGAGCATCCCGTATACAACTTAACTTAGGATCAGGAGTTCTAAACTAATTTTAATCTTTTTTTGACTTGCAGTTGTTTTTTTGCTACTTGAAAAAAAAAACACCTTTGCATGTGTTTTGAGAGTAAGCAGCATTTATATTTTCTGTAATTGAAGTATTTCTCCTTTGCAGCATTTTTTCTATACATATTTGTCTGTTAGTGTTTCCTTATATAATTTTTTACTTTGCCAGTCTCTGTTTTGTGTTTTGCATTTGTTATAAAATCATGGGTTTGGAGGGGTACACCCTGGACAGGACGCCAGTCTATCACAGGGCAAACAGGACAAAAAACTACTTACGCACACACAAGGAGAATTTACAGTAGAGAAGCCAATTAACCCGACAGTCATGTTTTTGGACTGTGGGAGGAAGCCGGAGTACCTGGAGAGAACCTAGACATGCTCGGGGGGTGGGGGGGAGGGTAGCACTGCTGCCTTGCAGCAAGAAGGTTCTGGGTTCGATTCCCGGCCCAGGGTCTTTCTGCATGGAGTTTGCATGCTCTCCCTGAGCATGTGTGGGTTCTCTCCGGGTACTCCGGCTTCCTCCCACAGTCCAAAAACATGACTGTTAGGTTAATTGGCTTCTCTACAGTCCCCTTAGGTGTGTGTGAATGGTTGTTTGTTGGTGGAGCAGATGGACCAGGGTTGGTGGAGAATGGCACTTCATTTACAATTACAGTTTGAGCTGAGCTTAAAAACCGCACCTTAAGTTCAACATCTCACCTGACCTAACAAATGCACTTCTGTCAGACCAAAAAAGAAATAAAAACACAGTTCAATCCAAGGAAGGGTTATGTCCAAGTAACTGTTTTCCCACTTAACCCATCCAGTTATGGTGGGGCCAATGCCTATCTCCGGCAGTCTATGGGCGATAGGCGGGGTACACCCTGGACAGGTCGCAGTCTGTTGCAGGGCAACACAAAGACTCACAGACTTACATGAAGACATATAATCAAGCACTCTCAAAATCACAGAATTGTTTCCCTTCAGACCAAAATTTCCAGTTATATCGAAAAGAATGTAAATTGGCCGTCATAGGAATAACTGAAAGTTTGGTCTGGACATATAATCTGTCTTTTCTTTCCTCATATAGAGCCCTTCAAATTGTCTTGCCATTGAAATGTGCTAAATAAATTAACTTACAATGCCTTGCCTTGTGTTTTGCAGGCTCTATTAGGTTTTCTTTTATTTTCCTTTTTTTTTCAAGCAGCTTCTGTTGATGCTGGAAAAAAGGCCTGCCCAAAGCTTAAAACTTCTATCAGCATGTTTTACTTTTGGATGGTGTTTTTAGGATTACACTTAGTGCTACTATGTCAGATAATGCTATTTTAATAGCTTACATTTCGGTTCAATCAGACAGACTCATATAGCTCATTTGCTAACTAGAATCATAGCACTTCTTGGCTTTTATCCAAAAAACTACATTCTTCTTAAAACTATTACATAATGGAAAAATCTGGGGCATTCACAACAATTAGTTGTCCTGTACACAGGCGCCTTCATTAAAGTCCTGGATCTCTTTGCCTCCTCCAGAGTTGGTCATCTCTGATTAATGCCCCCAGGGTGCTTCATTAAATGGTCAAAGCTTTTTTTTTTTTCCTTAGACCCTAACCCTACCTAAAACTTCTCCAAATTTAGTCCTGACTTCTCGGTTTTTTCTTATTTTCATTACACTGTGCGATCACTTGTTTTCTAACAATCCTCTCAAATCTTCACACAAACACATGCAGATGAAATTACATACAGAATAATTATGTATACTAATTTATGTGAATTCTAAAGAATTTTACACAATTCTAAAGAATGTTGCTTGATTTATTTTGGGCAGATAGGCACCAGCCCCATGGATGGATGGATGGATGGATGGATGGATGGATGGATGGATGGATTCGACAATTGTTTTTGGTATTTACATTAAAAGAATGAGAAATGTATTGTTGTTGTTTTCAAAAAAAGCACATTGTGTTAGTATATTGTTAAATACATGAAATCAGAGGTGTCAAGTAACGAAACACAATACTTCGTACTGTCCTTAAGTTCACTTTTTAGGTATCTGTAATTTACTCCATTACTTATTTTTCTTCCTACTTTTGACTTCTACTCATTACATTTTCACACAAGTATCTGTACTTTCTATTCCTTACATTTTTAAAACAAACGTTATTGTTACTCTTGGCTTCAGTTTAATGTTTCTAAATATTTATTTCCCGTCATGTGCGCCATCCAATGCAGATCATTGGCTCCATCCACATCTAGTGAAAACTAGTGTGATTGGATGAGTCATATAACGCAAACACTCATTGGTTAGCTGAAGGAAATCATCAGAAGCAAGCAGGTGTTCTTCAAACTGCAAACGTGAATTGTCTATGCCATGCTACAATGTTGGATTCAGAAAAAGATGATGAAATATCTGAAGGGTCGGACACAGGCGAGAGCGTATCAGGAGATGAAGAAGGAGACCAACAAGACCTCCCTCCTCCTTGGCCCTATCTCAAAGAATTTTTCCAAATAGTCAAAAATTTTAGCTTTCAATTCATATAGTGGCATCTGGCTGTTTTTTTTGAAGGTTACTTTATACTTAGTAGTTTTTGGAGCACATACTTTTTCACTTTTACTTGAGTAAAGAGGTCAAGTTGATACTTCAACTTTTACCAGAGTGTTTTTAAACTGCAGTATCTACAAATGTGTGTACTTTTGACATCACTTCATGAAATATTGTGCCTCCAATGTGATTAAAAATGAAAAAACAAAGAAACGACCACAAGGGGGCAGGACTGTTGGGATGGTTTATTTTGTCCCACAAGTTCACAACATAATGACTTATCCAGTGAAGCTGGGAATGACATGCCCAGGTCTTAATTTAGAAAAGATCCAACACATCAGAGAACCACATGAGCCTCAGATCTAGACAAGTTTATTATAAGTATCTGTTTACAAAAACAACAGTGTGATTCATACCCCTTTTGGTTTTTTTTTTTTGTTGTTGTTTTTTTGCGTGTTTAAAAAAAGCACAAGGTCCACACTACATCTTTTTTTTGTAACTCAGTGGAATCTGACACAGTTTTTAACATCAACAAGTTGGAAAATAGACGTGTATTAATTTCACAAATGAGTGTCTAAAATAGATGCTGCTCTTTTTTTTTTATCTGAGCTCATTTCTGATGTCCATGTGTGGACAGATGCAAGTCAACCCCAAACAGACCGCTCTGATTAAAAGCAGATGTTCCAGATGTTACAGCCCAAACATTCCTCTGTCCCTGATAGTGGAGAGGAGAGCAGAAGAAGGAGGGATAGTTTATCACTGTCATCACTGACACGTGGCGTTTCTAAGACTGTGGTTAAAAAAATAATTTGTATGATGAAATAAAGCCTACCTTTCATTGTGGTTTAGCCTACTAGAGTCTGTTTGGCTGCTGGCTGGAGTCACATGCGCTGCATCGCACTGGAATGTGAGTCCCAGATGAAGCTCCTTAAGTGCGCAGGTATCCAATTGTCCTCGTTTTAATAGCGGATGCACAGAAAAGAAATAAAAAGTAATAAATAAAATGCATAGGTAAATCCGAGGTTTTAAAGTTATATTTTTCCCTTCTCTTTCAGCACAGGTATTACCGGTGTCAAAAACTATGGTAAACTCAATAACACATGTAAAAAAGGAAAAAACTTTGTTGGAAAGATGCAAATTATAATCTCCCTCTTCTCACTTGGAGAGATGCTGAGGTGAGCTATTCTCTCCGTTCAGCCTGGATCTGAGGTGGGGCCCCCGCTGCAGCAACAGGAGAGGCTTCAAAACTTTGCTGGAGAGGAAGGGCTGCTCTCACTGCTTGGAGAAACCACGTGTTCCTCAAAACTTTGAGCACTGACTGCTGAGTACAATGAATGAATGATAACATAGATTCAGTTTGTGCAACTTGAATTTTATTTGTTAATTTTTAATGTCTGTTCAAATTTTTAAAGCAAAAGTTTTAAACTCTGTCTTTTTTTCTGTTATGGTTTAACAAAGCTGGATTGGAGTCCACCTGCACAACTGCTCTGCTTTGATCACTTTGGGAGTTATAGCAGGTTCACAGAGGCGTAGCCAGAACATGTTGATTAGGGTGGCCAGGCAATAACCAATGTAGAGTGAGGGGTGGCACTGGAACCTCAGGGTCAATCTATTCTCTTTCATTAGGAAAATTAACGAGCAAAACATCCATATGTTCTTATTAAAGACTAACTATATTTTCCTACAGCCTTTGCTAACATAGACGCATATATTTCAACATCCGTGCTTTCTAGATGAAAAGTAAAGTGGATAAAATCCTTTCAGATTCGGGTTCTTGGGGTGAACATCTTTTCCATTGCCATTATTTACCTACTTTTGTTGATAATCATTCTGGATAAAATTGATATTTACAAGTACTAATATCTACATAAATTGATTATTTAAGTTTTTTTAATTAGAATAGTTATTTATCTATGATTTCACTGAAGACTCCTAGATGACTTGCAGAGACACATCATTTTCTCTTTACCCCAGGAAACACAAAATCTAGTTCTGAAAAAAGCATGAATTCTGTACTTACCATCTTTAATGTTAGTATTTTAATGTGCATAAATAACCAAAAGGTTTTTGTTGTCAAGTAATTGTTAATATGTGAAAATTTTCAATGTTTTGAATATTACTTATTATACTTGAGAGTATTACTGCTGCCACTGTCTGTATTAGAGGGGGGGAAAATGGTAGGGGTGGCCAATGACTGGCTAAGGGTGGCCATGGCCACCCCTGGCCCCCCATCTAGCTCCACCCCTGAGTAGGGTTGATGTGTTGGGCAACTGTTTTTATAATGAACTCTGAGCGGTTATTAAATAATAAAGTGCAGAGAGCCCAGTCATTAGTTAGAAAATTTATTTAATATATTGCTTACTGGACTCTTTTTGTTTTGTTTGTTTGTTTGTTTGGTTTACTCACCTCCATGTGTTATTTTTAAAAACTCTATTTAGAACCTTCTTCAGATCCAATGTGAATTCTTGCCATTTTTCCAAACAGGTCATAAAGTTTTGATCAAGCCCAGCTGGAAGCTGCTTTGTCCTGTGGGCCCCATAACTATCACTCAAACACGTTGCTGTGTCATTACAAGTATATTATTATGCTAGAGTATTGCCAAAACGTTCATTCATTTAACACATTTTTTTTCATTAAGTCAAATAAATCACATACTGAATTTATCTGAATATGTATTTTTCTCCTTAGTGCTAATGAAAATACATCATTTAGTTTCTTAAATTATAAAATGACACCAGACCAATAAAAATACAGGTCAACACAAAAATATTGGCCTAACAGAACAGTATGTTTAATATGTGCTTAGGGGTTGGTTTTAGAGTCACTTTGACTAGTTATATCTGAAAATTTGTCAAATCAGAATGTACATTTCGATTTACTGAGATATACCTGCATATGGTGTTTGTAAATATCTCTTCTAAACTGAATACTGTACAACCAGGAGGCTTAGTGAAAACTTTGTGGATGCAGAGTAAGATCCACTGCTAAAAAGTAAAGAAAGTGAACCGGAAATGAAGAACAGATCCAAGAACACAAAAAGGAGCTATAAAACTATAAGCCATGGCAAAGTCATATAAAGTCAAAAAAGTTGTAACATGACCTCATGAGGGGCCTAGCTTTGAGCAAAGCCACATTTCACTTCACATTTCGTATGGAGCTTCCCTTTAAATGTGATCACATTTTATCACATAGTTTATTCTGCTTAACTTAGGTTCTGTGAGCGAGATATTACATTTCTTAGCAGTCTTACCTCAGAAACCTTCCAATCATCAACCCTATGTTTATTGCAGAGCTGTTACAGTCCTTTACCAGTTTATCTCCTGTGAGCTATAACGTAGCAATGTGATCATGGTCCAAAGTTAAATTAAGTTGCTTAAAACTCTTGATTTAAATTAAATTCTCTGTAGGTAACTGCTTGCCTGCAGTCTTATACCATTTGGAACTCATTTTACTTTCAAGATTTTTTCGGTCAAGGTGGACTATGGCAGAACTTTGGGGAAACAATTCTCCCTGTGGTTTTATGTGAACCAGGTGCTGAAAGTGTCAGCACAGGTCATAGCGCTGTCTGCTTTTGATTATGATCCTGAAAAGACCTGATTTTCGGGGTCACAGATTAAAGAGGGCACAATTTCGAGGGGAAAAGATGAAAAGATGAGTGCATAGAGAAGCTTCAGACAGAGCAGAAAAATAGCTCACTATAGTATGTGTTATATTAGATTGAAATTTGATAAGGGTTAACACATTTTACCATCAGCTGCACTTCCATTCAAAAGTTCACTGATTCTCTATTCGCCACTGTTAGCTCCTGACTGTTCCTGGTCATCATCATCCCTCAAGATCTCATGTAAGAGCTGAACATCACCCCCCTCACTAAGAATGCACTGCAGAGGATGTACTTTGAGTGACACCTGAAGAAGTTCAGCGTGTCAAAGAGCAGCGAGGATTGCAGCTGAGCCCTCCCACACTGGACACACTATTTCAGACTCTCTCCTTTGGTCCATCGAGGTGAAAACCTCCAATCCTTAAAACCCGCTTCCTTACTGACACTTTTCTTTTTGGAAAAAATAAAAAAATTATAATAATAAATAAATAAATACACAAAATTCAGCATATGTATATACACACTCTACAATCTAACTTTATAGTGTTATTTGTTTTTGTATACCATGGTAGTATTCCTACACAGCTTGTATTTGTTTCTTCCAATTTATATTTTCATCATTTATTTAGATCAGTTGTATATTTGCTTCTCTATGTGTTCCACATTATTACAAAACAAATTCATTAGCAATAAAACTTTTATCAAAGAGGTTGCAGTTTATATAGGGTGCCACATCCTAAACCTTTTTTAACATTTCTGTTGTATCACAATCACAACTTTAAATGTATGTTGCGCTTTTATCTTGTAGACCAATAAAAGCTGTCTAATCCTATAGAGGAAGGACGATTATACATGGGCTCTCTTTGACAATATAAAAATCTGAGAAGTGTGGTATGCATATTATTACAACCACCTTAAGTCGTTACTTAATGCTGCTTTACAGAAGCTACTACTTTGAGATATGTTTATATGCTTTGCACAACTAGATACTAAAACTTAAGTTTCTACTCTGCAAAACAGCTCAGAGTCAGTCAGACAAGATGAAAACTATGTATGAACATCAGTTTTCAAGTCTTGCTAAAGGTTATCGATTGTATTAAGTTCTATACTAGAATATTTAGTATACACATTTATTACTCCAAACCACTTCCTGTAACCATGGCTATATGTTTTTGGTCAAAGTCTAGAGATTCTGCCATTTGTTGATCTCTGCCGCTCCTCCAGAGTTACATTGGGCATCTTGGCTGTTTCTCTGGTTGCTGCTCTCCTTACTGTACCTACTCTGTCACTTTAAGAGAAAGTTTATTTGTAAGGAGGTTGGGTCACACATTTTTATACTTTTTTAGGTGATAATGGAAGCCAAATAAATAAAGGGGACTCATTATTATTTTTATTATTATTATTAAGGATGATTTTATACTTTGTACTGACCTGTCAAATAAGTTTCTCCCAAAATACACAAAACTGTTTTGTTCCAATGTATAAAAATGTATCAGCAATACAAATACTTGTGAAAAGGTTTGCAAAAGCAGTAGCTAAAAACGATGGTTTCTAACTGTTAAGGAGCTTTTTGCAGTTAGAATCCATTGGGCTTATCTCCAATGAAATGATTGTGTTGACATCACTTATTTTATACGCCCAGTTATGTTTCCTTTACGCATGCACACCATTATATTAATCATTAAAAAAAACATTAACAAACACAATAAAGATGAGCTCACTGTGATGAAACAGATTTTGAATGTTTTAGTATTGTTAAGACCAAGACCCCAACAATTTCCTTTATAGATGATTTAAGAGCTGATACCACAGAAGTGCAGCACATGATTGGCAATCAACCATCTTCCAGGATTTTTTTTGGGCAACCAAACTGATTTCAAGCCACTAATTAATTCTATGAAGAACAACAACAAGCCTTATATTTGATATGACTGCTTACGCAAAGCCTTCATGTCAGTATGCCAAGTACTGGATTAACAGGCTTCAACCTGAAGCAAAGTCAGTAATAGGATAAAGTTAACTTAGGATGAGCACAAATAGACCTGAGCAGGTCAAGATAACCCAAAGACTTCTGTTCACACAAAGCACTTTGTTTCTGTCAACAGAGTAAGACCTGTCTTCTGCAGGTGAGTTGTTTTGGTTCTGCTGCACTTTTTTTTAAAAATGAAATATCTTCTTTTAATTTGATGTATATTCTATTTGAGCTTCCTGTTCCCTTAACGATGTTTCACTGCATATGAATCTTTCTTAGGATCTGACAGCATTGACTCCTTATTTGCTCATTTACAGGGAGATACTTGTATTCTCAGGCTGATCTTATATATTTGATTCCACCTTTATGTATCGGTGTTGCAACTTTGAACCAGTATTTCATCACGCTTTGAAGAGTCTATAAGCAAAGGTTAAATATGACCCGAGTAGGTTTTAATCTGAGAGGTTTTATAACCAAATTTAACCCCTGAGATAAATGGGTAGATCTCTGTTTAGTCTAAATCCTTCCTGATTACCTTATTGTATAACTCCTCATAAATTATAAATGGGGTTGAAGCGATCAGTCATTAGAAAGTAAACACAATTCAGAATTTTCTTAGTTTTTTGTTGTTTTGTTTTCTGTATAAAATTGTGACTAGATGTAGTTTAGCCTCTTGGAACAGCAGATAAGTGAAACGATGTTTCCCTGTTGAAATGAACACAACAATGGGATTTATATAGGGTGGTGTTGTTCACAGAAAGAGCAAAAGGCAGTTAGAAAATAGAATCACACAAGAAGGACAGATAGAAGTCAAATGGTTTAGCAGCACTGTAAACAACAGATCTTCCGTTTGTTTAAAGTGTAAGAAACAGATATAAAATGTAGCTTTTCAGATGCTAATAAATATATTGAGGATTATATAGGACCAAAACTTCAATATGTGAATGCCAAAAATGCCTGTTTAAAAAAAAACAGTGTTTTTTCTGTTATTGTTTTTTTTTTTGAAAAATATAAACAAAACATGATCTTTTGTTATCAAACAAACTGAATCTAAAGAGAAAATAATTTCCAGGTGACTTAATTGTTTTCATCCATAAAATAGACGTATAGCACCACCTAATGGTATATCTGACAATTGCCTCTCGATCAGATTGAAAAGCAGTTAAAATTTCTTCTCACAATCACGAAGTTAATTATGTAAAATTGAATAATATTTTTGTGCCATTTTGTGTGACAAAAAAATAATGAATGAGAAAATTACCAAGGTAACTGTCCAGGAGATGTATGTGGTGCATCCAAATCATTCTGCCATAATCAGAATCGGATCAGAATCAGAAATACTTTAATAATCCCAGAGGGAAATTACTGTTGTTACACGCTCCAGTTACTGTTTTATATAATATATACACACATCCAACTACACAATATAATAAAGATAAAGAAATAAGAATAAAAAGAGATAAAATATATACACATATAGCTCTTCTATATATATATCTGTACCTATATCTATGCATATGTAAAAACTAAATCCAAATAAAGTGAAAATCCAAGTAAAGTGATAAAAGTAAAGTGATACGTGGCGTGCAAAAATAGTGCATAAATGTCAATTAGGGGGTGGGAGGGGGCTGAATCACTTGAGGGAGGCGTTATATAGATTGATGACCACAGGTAGGAATGATTTGCTGTGGCGCTCTGTGGTGCATCTGGGTAGGAGGAGTCTTCTGCTGAAGGAGCTCGTCTGCTGGACCAGTGTGTCGTGGAGAGGTTGTGAGTCATTGTCTAATATGGACTGAAACCTGGACAGCATCCTCCTCTCTGCCACGGTGGTCAGGGTGTCCAGCTGCTCCCCCACAACATCACCGGCCCTCTTGATCAGTTTGTTCAGTCTGTTGTTGTCAGCGACCCTCAGCCCACTGCCCCAGCATGTGACAGCAAAGAAGAGCGTGCTAGCAACAACAGACTCAAAACATCCTCAGCATCGTCCCACAGATGTTAAAGGACTTCAGCCTCCTCAAGAAGAATAGTCGGCTTTGGCCCTTTTTGTAGACCGCCTCAGTGTTTCTAGTCCAGTCCAACTTATTGTTAAAGTACACTCCCGGGTACTTATACTCCTCCACAGTGTCAACAGAAACCCCCTGGATGGTAACAGGGGTCACAGGTGTTTTTGTCCTCCTCAGATCCACTATTAGCTCCTTAGTCCTTGTCACGTTGAGCTGCAGGTGGTTCAGCTCACTCCAAGTGACAAAGTTGCCAACCACAGTCCTGTATTCACTCTCCTCACCCTTTTCAATGCAGCCAACAATTTAGGTAATAAGGTTGCTGTCAGCCATTACAACAATTTGATATGGCAGCCTGATTTGATTTATGCTTTTTCAGCTGTAAAAAAAAACATTTTTGGGAATTTTGTTGTGGCCAGTTAACAGGTTACATGTTTTTAAAGATTTTTAAATTAAAACCCCAAAATTCGACATTTCTCTTCAACCTTTATTAGTTAGACCAGTTTTCACTCAAATTACATGTTTATTATGTCTGCCAGATTTGCACATGTACAGAGAGTATTTACTTCCTGGTCTGTGATACAAAAAGCTCAAATTAAGGCAGATTTGAGTTTGTATGTATGATATAGCAGTATGTTTTTAGTTTATTTTGTCTTGTGTATTTTATGTTATCTAATCTATGTCTGGACCCTTCGGACGCATAAACGTGCTTTTATTAAAACGATACCTCTGTAGCTCTGACTGTAAGGCGAGGCAGGTTTATTTGTATTGCACAATTCAAGGTAGAGGCAACTCAAAGTGCTTTATACGAATAAAACAATGAATCTAAAATAAAATCAATATTACAGTTTTATTACCGTTACTTTATAATGTGTAAATTTTCTGCTCAAAGTTCAAACTCCATCCTATTTTCAATTAGGAGCATCTAACAGATTTCCCTCGAGGATGAACTTGTATTTGACACCAAATGTAATCTAAAACTTATACCCTGACCTGTTTGCTCTGTTATTTTGTTTTATTATTTGTATTTATTCAGTAATATTATTTTACAAACCCTTAAGGCCTTTATAGACAATCTATATGACTTTTACTAGGGAGATGACTGTGATATCAGTTAACTGTAGTCAATTTTATTATAGCTATATTAAGTATAGGCTTTTTCTGATTTTTATTTGTAAAAAAAAAAAAAAAAAACATGCATTTTTGCATGTTTTTTGCACACACCTGACATACATATAGTTGTCTTTAAACTGCATCAGTCACTGTAATTCATGAAAAATACTTTTTTTTTTTCCTCCAGAGCCCTTTGTGTGACATCAAACTTTGCCTCTGAGAATGAAGCTTCTACTCCGTTTGACGTTTTTTATAGCAGCATCATGTGTCCTTAGTTTTGCCTCAGCAGATCAAAGGAACATCTTCTCAGAGGGCATCTTGAAACGTACGTTTTCAGAGCAGAATCTGTTATAATTCCTGCTTTTATCCAGGAAAATGAAAGACTAAACATATTTTAAGTATACTTTAAAATGTATTGATTGCTTGTGGTAACAAAAAAACAACTAATTTTTGTCTCAGAGCTGTCAGAGGATGGTGAGAAGCTTGTGAACGAGGAGCTGGAAAGAGCTCTCTATGGTGTGAAGCAGATGAGAGAAGTAATGTGGAGGAACGAGCAGAAACACGAGCACCTCATGAACTCGCTGAAGCACAGCGGTGACAAGAAGAAGGCAAGAACTTCCAACCAAAGATCAGTGAGAAGAAAATGACTCAAACGGGTGATAAAAAAAAAAAATATGATCCAGGTTCTCAATTCTCCCACCAGGGGGCAGCCCAACTGGCAAAAGATGTGACTGAGAAGCTGGAGGAGGCAGAGGAGCAGTGCAAAGACTCCCTGCAGTCAGAGTGGGAGGAATGCAGACCCTGTCTGGAGGATGCATGTAAAACCTTCTACACCTCCACATGCCGGAGGGGCTTTGCTTCTTTCCGCACTAAGGTATGAAAACCTTCCTACACTGTTAAAAGGCCCAGGATGAAAGGCTGTGACCTACCATTTTGCTTTGGAACATGACTGCACAAGTAGAAATCATTTACTGAAACAAAGGAATAAGCCTACAGCATAAACATATATATGTCCTTTTTTCTAATGATCAATCAATGTTTACATCTCCAGTTGTTCTGCTAAGCACATTATACTTTTTACCTCACAACTAGTTTCCTTCTAATGGTCTTTGGACACCTGAAAAATTTAACTACATGATTTATCTTTGAAGAAATAACATTAACTACAAGTTAGCTTCTTATTTCAGAGATAAAGAAAAAAAGATTATCAGCAGGCATCAGGGAATCACAGGGTCTCTGGGTCATTTTCTTTTAAAAGGATTCTGATTTTACCTCAAATGTTAATTGTTTCTGCCTTTGGTAATCAAAAAAAAATAAAAAATCCAGTTTTGTAAATTGTTAAAAACTAGCTGTGTTTATAATAAAAATGACATGTGTGCATTAAATGCATGCGTGTCCTGGCAATATTGTCACAATTACAAATATCAATATATTTTACCAAAAGAAAAAATGTTCTTTGGTTGTTGGTACATGTAGTATCTTTTTTTTTTGGCTCATCTGGTAGCATTAAATATCTAATGATCACCTCTCCAAGCCTATCAATTTAGGTAGACAGTCATTTTTTTAGGGTAGCAGTGTATCATATTCGACTGTTTTCAGATGATGGATTTATCAGTGCTCCTTTAAATGTCCAAATTTTAGGATATTGTCTTATGATCTAACCCTGCTTTAAACTTCTCTATACCATGGTCTTCATTAGGCTGTTTGTTCACTTTTACTAATTAGCTACACTAGCTTTTATTCATAAGAAACATAGTACAGAGGGATGCTATAAATGCATGCCACATTTTTCAGATTTTTTATTTGTAAGGGGTTTCTGTCTGCTCTCCACAGTTATGCAATATTTTTGATGCTGTATTTTTTAAATCTCATACACTCCTGTGTGTGTGTTTCTTTTTGGTTGTAAAGTAACAATGTCAACAAATGTCACTAGGGTCGGTATAAACATTTTTTATTAAATAAACATCAGCACCCTGAAAAAATATTCAATCAAGTCACATAGTCCCCTTTTCTCAGTAGACCGTTAAATAATCTTCCCATAACTTGCAAATTTCCCACTCACAGGCCAACAAACTGCAAAGGTTGATGTAGTCAAATACTTAACTGCCTTAATGTTCTTGCTGCAGGTGGAAAACTTTTTCCAAAGAGTCTCCAGACGCTTTGGTCCTAGAGAGAGACCCCTGGAAGCAGTGGACATCTTGATGAATCAGGGCCCTGATGAATCAGAGAAGGATGTTGTCCACATTGAGGATTCTTTCAAGCGAGTGTTGAGCCAGGTGGGGACACTGGTGAACCGCAGCATCACCTTGGTGTCCAGGATAAGCAGCAAGCTTGACGGGGCCCTTCAGAGGGCTTTTCTGAACAACACGGATGTAGAGTCAGAAGAAAGCCCTTCTGATCCCTACTACCCTGCTCGCGACTCAGGCTTTCTCCAGGGCGTTGGCCTGGAGGAGGTGCTGGAGTCCTTCTTTGACTTTGGAAAGAGTGTAGTGGAGGAGTTTGGTGCTGTGGTCACCCAGGTGTTTGATGACCTTCATAAAACTGAGAAAGAGGAAACAAAGAAAGGTAATTTGAGTCTTTTAAGGCTGATGAGGCCACGCGTACCATTAGAGCGGAGTTTCTTGTATGCACGTTACAAAGGTTTGTATTTGAACAGAACAGGAAAGCTTTCGTCGCTACCTGAGGAACAGGAGGCTGTGCAAAGACCTTCGCAGGGAGACATCAGAATGCTGGCAGCTTCAGAGCAAGTGTGAGGCCTGCCAAGGAGCTTTGCTTACAGGTAAAGAAACTCTACATTCAAACTTGACCTTTTTTCCCCACAAGACACCTTTAAACACAGCTGCTCATATTTCTTTTTCCCTCACAGAGTGCCCCAGTGTTCGGGAGCTGCATGTGGAGCTGGATGATGTATCTCAGCTGCTGGATGTCTCCAAAGAGCAATATGATGAGATTTTGTCCATTGTCCAGCATCATACCGATGAGACAGTCAAATGGCTTAGCAACATGGTCGCTGAATTCAGCTGGGTGGCTCAGGCTGTGAGCAACAGCAGTGTTACTCAAAACATCTTCCGCATCACAATGGTGAGCAGGCAAAGGGTTGATAAAGATACAAACATAACGTGCCAGAGGAGCCAAAAATATATTTTTATAAGAAGTCAACATGTTCAGGAAACCAGCTCATATGCAATGTCTAAATAGGAAAGAATATATTCCAGCATTTCATTTCAAATAGTGAAACTCCCTATGAAAATCAGAATATAGCAGATCATTTCATTAAATTATTTTATAACAGAATGCTGGCCTAAAAAATCATAGAGAAGATGAAACAATCATCAAAACCCCCCCAGAAACAAGTTGGAGCCCAGAAGTTGAAGAAGCCGGCTCTTCACAAAGCGTGAAATCCAGACATACTAACGAAAAGTTAGGTTGAAGCAAAGAATTTGGTGAAAAATAGCTGCAGGAGGAGAATATATAACCGAAAACATGTTCATCATTTAACAACTGCCTCCGTTTTACATGTTCAATGTTGTTCACAGGGATTGTCATTATATTAAGTGTTTATGGGAGGTTTCCTACAAAGGCAGATTGCCATAATTTTACATGGTACTGACCCAAATACTTATTTTGGGAAATTGTTTTAATTTGTGTGAAAGCAACCCTGACTATGGGTGACACTTCTAATAAAAGTCATCTTCTTGCTATTGGTCATATAACATTTTAATGCTTCATTAGCTGTTCAACTTAATGATTAAAATCAACACAAAAAATAAATATATTGGACTTTGCGCGTAATGGTATGGTTTCAGAGATGAAGTCAGATGGAAAGATTAGAAGTTTGCAATAGAAACATCTTCAAGTATGACAGCTGTAATTTTATCGATGAATAACAGGAAACAATTTTCATTTTATGAAAAGTATTTGATTATCTCTAGAATGAGTAAAAGTGCATGAGAGAAAAGTCAATGTGACTTATTCTTTCCTGTAGGTGGCACCAGAGAGCCATGATGAGCAGAACATGTCTGCCACTGAAACTAAAGTGGAGGTAGAGGTCCTGAACTCTCCACCACTCATGCTTAACATCCCCAAGGAGCTGGAGCTGCAAGATCCAGCATTCATCCAGTATGTAGCCCAGGAGGCTCTGGACAAGTACAAGGAAATGGTCAGGTAAGGGTTACTTAAAGGCTCAACATTAGCCCACTTCTTTAACACAATAGAATGCATAGACATTTGACATTACAGCTCTGTTGCTTAAAATACATCCTCTTTCCCAACAGGATTGAAGATGAGTAAAACGACACCATTGGCACTTTATTTGAGGACACAGCTAGGTGACATGTAGTAGACACCTTGATGCTGATATATGAACAAACTACAAACGTAACCAAGATTCATCACAGTGTTTCAAGCAATTATATTTACTTTATTTCCTTTAAAGTATTTGTTATTCACTTGCAAAGCGAAATGTAAAACTGAAATCTTTCATTTAATGTAAAACACAAAAGCCACATGAAAGCTTTGGCTTATCATTTGATTTTATTCTGTACAAAATCATATTAGTTAACATTCTCATCACCCTCATCATTTACGCCCCCAACTAGATCAGGCTCCACTTTTACAGGACAATCTCTCACACCAATGATGCACAGAAAAACAAAAATAAAAGAATAATTCACATCTTCGATATTGTCTAATTTCTCATTCTTGTAAAAGAATTCCAAAGTTAAGGAAGTACCAGTGAGAATTTAGCAGTTTGATTATTTATAAATGAGCTAAGCAATGGCTTAACCATCCTCTTATGTGCTTGTGTTTTACGTCTGTCATACATCTGCCTCTGCTAAGGTGAAAATAGAGGTAAATGTCATATCAAGTACAGCACCACACAAATTAGTTTGTAAAACATCTCAAAATTAATTCATCTCTTCTGTCAAGTACCATATTCTCATACAAGCTGCAATTATTAAGATTCTTAATATTGAATTATTAACCTGCCCTTCTGACTGTATAGTAGTAGAATAATAAATCTGCATCAGTTTGAGTCTTTACAAACTTTTAAATGTTTACTCTGACTGAAGACATTCATAAGGTAAGGCATTCCATACCTTTTTCAACTGACAGGTTCTCATTTTGAAGAAGGGGAAATAAAAAAAGTATGCGCTTTTCAAGTCATATCTCCAAAAGTAAACAGGAAGTTCTGTGTTTGAGTTAAAAAGCTCCTTGATATCTGGAATAATTGTAAAAGCTTTAATAAAAGGTAGTTTTCAAAATGTGATCCATTTTTATGTATATTCATGGTTTCCACAAATAGCAAGTTAAAGGGTAACTAATTAAAATACTGGAGAGAGAGAGAAAAAAATTGAAGCCAAATGTACCCTAAGGTTCTTTTTAACAGATCTGTTTTTTGTATGTTGCTGATTCAATGGCATCCTGAACTCCATTTTCAACTGAACCGCATAAAAAAAATTACAAAAATACTTGTGTTATCGGCAGAGTTGTGCAGCACACAAAACAAAACGATGACAAGTTAAACGGGAACCTACAAATGGACAGCCAAAGTTTCATTTTTAATTAAAATAAAAAGAAAATTAAAAATTCTATGCAAATCTTTAAAAAGTTGTGTCAGGATTCCCCAAATTGAAATTATTAAAATAAATGAAAAAAAAAAATGGAAAAGCAATCGTACAGTAACACAGGTATCCTATTCTTTAACGCCACCTGATCATCACACAGTCTAAAAATATTTCTTTATACAAACTGTATGTACATCAGCTTTGATCTCTCAGTACATTCTTGCATTCATACAGCAGACCTTATTTTTTAACCACATGCTTTACACTCATCACATACAAGTTAACCACAGTTATTGGTCATCCTTAATCTGCCATTCAACCTGGAACTCTTGATCATATGAAAGATCTGGATTCAGACTAAAAGATCTATGTGACTTAAAAATAAAAAGAGGGGATTTCTAAGAAGATAGAAGCAACTTATTTCAAAAGTTAATAAAGTAAAAAAAAAAAAAAAAAAAAAAGTCTCTTGTCTGTCTGTATCACAGTGTTGTGGCCAGTAATATGGATTTATTCTGATAGTTTCCCAGAGCTTTATATACCCATTTGAACACTTGGTCCCATTGTACATTAGGGACAATCATTATGCCAGTGTCATTGTGGCCTAAAATCCTTTCATTTTAATTAAATGTTTTAAATTCTTTTATTGATTTCCACCAATGTACCTTAGAGTTTAAGCTAAATTGCCGGGACTAAAGGTTGTCTCCAGGCTGGTATTGTGGCTCTGTTGCTGTAAAGTAGTCTTCCAGGAAGGACTGGATGTATTCGAACGTCGGCCTTTCGTCTGGCTCCTTCTTCCAGCACTGCTTCATCATCTCATGGAGTGACTCCGGGCAGCCCTGAGGGCAGGGCATGCGGTAACCACGTTCCACCTGCTCCAGGACCTCTCGGTTCACCATGCCTTCAGAAAAAAAGCCAAAAACAGGAGATTAGTATTTAAAATAATAAAAATAAGGCAACAGCTTTTCAGTGACATGGTAAAACTGCAGAATGATCCAGTTCAGAAATCTATGGTTAGATCCAGAGACATTTATGGCTTCTAGTATTGTTGATAGAATTCTTTATGCTGGTCTGGTACGAAGAATCTCAGTCAAAGTATTTTGCATGTTATGTTTTTAAGAAACATGAAAATGTTGATGAATTATATATATGTTCATGAATACTTTTTTGAAAAACATTTTATCTTTAATAAACACTAAAAAGAGTAAAGATCTCTGGTATCGAAAAAAAAAAAAAGCAAGAACGGAGCCCAAGCAGGAAAAAAAGATTAGCTGTGGGGATGGAAACATTTGGCCAACACATGTTTTTTAAATCAGCAGTAAATGGTCAGCCAGAGGGAAATATTCTTTAATAAAAAAAAAACAAAAAACATTTTAGATTCAAACTATAGCATGCATCTTAAAACCTACATCCTTCTGCCAATTGTAGAGATAACTGCCACAAAACAAAAACAAAACGTCTTGAGGCAGAGCTTCAGAAAACCTGAAAATGTAAATAGAAACTGGGCTGTTGTTTGAGTGACCTAGAGTCCATTTTTAAAGCTGCATTTCAGCCAGAGCAATCACATTCATAGGACTGTCATAGATGCCCCAGAGTGGTCAACATGCTGCTGTTTGTTCCTGCTGTTTCAAGCAGAATACCAATCAGTACTGCTGCATCCTCCAGTCCCAGACTCTGCTCTGTGACAGGAAGACGGCAAACCCTGTGACACGGCGCAGAAACCGCTCCGCTGGGAGCTCAAGTGCAGCTAAAAGAGGTTATGACGAAATCAGTGGCATGGTCGCGGTCTCACCCCCTCCCTCCCCCCTCCTGCTCTGTGGGAGACTGGGGATCAGATTATCTCACACTGGAAGAGAGAGCAGCAGGGCTCAGAGCAGCTGCAGATTCAGGGAGATGATAGCTTGGTGGTATGCCGGATGCTGCGGTGTTGGAAGTGATTTATGGCTTTCATCTTAAAACCTGAGCTCCTAATTAAATGCTTGGTATTCATTTGCTCCAGATGTAGTTTTTACAGAGCAAACTGGAGGAGGAATTAATATGTCTTTCGATGCATAATTCTGCTTTGAAACACTGGGGGAAAAAAGGGCACAAAAAGTTCAACAATATTGCCCTTAAAAAGGCTAGAAGGCCAGCATTAAACTGAATGATTTACCCTAAATAAATCCCACAGAAGCCAGATGGTCTGGTACTCTGACCTGTGGCACGGTAAGCCATACGATGGGCTGCGATCAGAACTCTGATAAAGGTACAGTGGGAAGAGGAAGTGTGCTATGATGGGAGTAAGAGATCGCATGGGCGGAGGGGACACCATCACTGACTCTCACAGGTTGAACCCATTTCTTTATATTCCACTGATGGGAGATAATAAAAGCTTAAAATGAAATCAGTTAGCAAGGGGGTAAATCCTGAAGCATGCATCCTTATAACATTTTCCATTTTTACAAGCCTATGACGTGTTAAACCACGTTAATAGTTGTATACTAGCATACATGTACGTCTTACCTGGATATGGAACTCTTCCCTTTGTTACCAGCTCTGTCAGTAGTATACCAAATGACCACACGTCTGATTTGATGGTGAAGCGACCGTACAACGCAGCCTCTGGGGCTGTCCACTTTATAGGGAATTTAGCACCTGGGCAAAAGAAAGACTGAATTAAAATGTGAGGCGATAGGTGAAAAAAAAAAAAAAAAAAAAAAAAGAACCACACATAAGTAGCACAACTTGGAAAAAAATGTTTAAATTACTTTCAGTGGCAGAATGATCATACAACATGCAGCTTTAAAGCTTCAAGAACTATGTTCACCTGTTGATTTCTGAGGACATTTTATCTTAACCAGACTAGTTCAAACTTTAACACACTTGCTGAACACAATAATATATTACATTTTTCATTTTGACACAATGAGAAAATGCTCCGATTATTCAGTTTTGTCCTCCAGTTAAAATTGTTCAAGATAAACGAGTTTAATTTTTTAAGCCTTTGGTTGAATAATCTTGAAATGTCCTATGAAGGTGTTAAAAATCTTTTTAATATGCCACAGACATGTAGAGGGGTCCAGGGCCACATTTTGTACATTTTTTTTTTTTTTAAAGGCACCAATCTAGGGCACTGCATTAGAATAACAAAGTAAAGTTATAAGAAAGTATAAATGTAAAGTAGTTATAGATAATCAGGGATTAAAGTAGTTTCAAATTCTTCCAAGTCATATTTTTTCAAAGGAACATATATCATTTAAGAATGGTTTTCATAATACCTGAATTTCCTTCAAGTACATTCATTTTTTTTTTTAATATTTAACAATAATTGCCCTGTCACCACTTATTAATACCTTCTATATTAGTAGATATACAGTAGTGCTTTACAATTATTAGAAATGATAATGAAGCTAGACAGGGAATAGTCTTTTTTTTTTTTTTAGCTAAATGTAACTCTTTTACATTTAGCCCTGTTGAAACACCTAGAGAACTCTGTATAAAGAAAGATTTTTGGAATGACCTCATATGGACTGATGAAACAAAGAACATTGCTGCGCAACTACATGAAGATTCAGAACTTCATTTAGAAAATGTAAACTAAAAATGAAAAAAAAAATAAATAAAATGACAGAGGAAAAAAAAAAAAACTGAAAATAAAGGAAAAGGCTGGGATCTTATTTGACCAAATGGAGACAGATGGAGAGATTTTGAGAGTGAACTAGTCGAGGAAGGTTGATCCATGCGTCCTTTCATTTGGTCTTTATCTAAACATTAACTGTAGAAAAAATACATATCTTATTTGGATATAATATATCATGCATCCCTGGAATATACAATTTCAATTCCATCCATCCATCAATAAAAATATGGATGTACTGCATTTTAAATATAGAATAGAACATTTTTTTATTGTAAACTTTCTGGTAAACTTGGAGATATATTTTATTGCATGTTGCATATCCCACTAAATCTGTTTCACCATTAAATCTGCAGCTCTCCCTATTTCTCTTTGTGCCGTTTAAAAAGATTTACGAAGCTCTTTACTAATAGAATGACGCCGGAAACAAAATTTAAGATATGTAGAAGCTCTGCAGTCTGATTCTAGCTGCACAATAATAAAACATTTGTTAATTTTAACCTGTAACTGGGAGTCATGGTCCTCTGAGAAGCCAAGCTTTTTTTAACTAGTAAAGAACAAACTATATTTTCTCAAGCTTCTTGTATTATATTACTAACTTGTATAAACTTACAATCTGTTGCCATTTTTTTGCTGAACACCTTTTTACCTTTGGCTAAAATAAATGAGTGGAAAAAGGGGGGAAAAAGCTAAAATTATTGGTGGGGGCTGTCCCCACCAGGCCAAAGTTGGTGGGAATATATCAACACCAATTTTAGAAAAATAAGCCTGGGCTAATGAGCATTTTTGACAGGACGCAACTTATGGAAAGCTGCGCTTTTAACCCATTATTTTAAATGGCTTGTATGCCCAGTAGAGTTCACCTGAGTTAAGTGTGTGCCACACATGTATAGAGCCAGCATGTTAAGAAACTGGAATGAACACTAGTCTGCACATGTATTTGCAACTGTGTGAATAAAATGAAATAAAAGGTTTATCACTACACGTGACAGTTTTCTTACCAGTACTTTAAATCAAATGTTCTCAGATCACTAGCAGAGTTGCACTCTCCAGTGAAACAATCGTGATAAAAGTAAGTCTTGGATAACTGCAACACCTGCCCACCCATTTTTTTTATTTCTATTTTAACTGGATCAGTATGATTCAGGTAGGAGACCAATGTGGGATACAAAACATCAAATTTTCCTAAAAAATGAGGGATTTTCATGTCCGCCTTAGCATCCAGTAAATCAGTGGCCATGTGTCTGAGTGCACAAGCTCCGTACATGTACCTTGACGAGCTGTGTACTCGTTGTCCTCAATGAGTCGAGCCAAGCCGAAGTCGGCAATCTTACAGACCAGGTTATCTGCTACTAAGATGTTGGCAGCTCTTAAGTCCCTGTGGATGTAGTTCATCCTCTCAATGAAAGCCATCCCATCTGCAATCTTTCATGTGGAGCACAGAGAAATGAGATCAATAATCAAAAAGCAGGGTTAGTATTAAATATATAGGTACTTTTGCATTTACAGCTAAAAACACTAATGTATTCAAGAGAAATATGTGATGCTGTGGCAATTATACAATTACAGAGAAATCATAAAACAAAACCATTTTTCACCCCGATAGTCTTCGCTGGCTTTATTCTGTGTCAACATGATTTCTCACACACATTTCCATTTTTTAGTGTGGAAAACAAAACTAAGATCAGATCATAGCATGAGATTGAAGTGATGAACTCTAGTCATCTGTGGTGAGAAGTGTTTTGGGAGCAGATAAAAATTGGAGGAACGATATTAAATAAATAAGCCACTCAGGCTTAGAAGCCAAAAAAATAAAATCCTTAGAATTGAGTGCCTGTATGACTGACAACCCAGCAGCTTATTGTCCTTGTTGAGGGAAAGCCTCCCCACAGCAGGATGCTGCCATCACCATGTTTCACTATATGAATGTTTTCTTTTGTTCTGGTTGATGTACAATGGTAGTACTTTGTGGCATAACAACCTCTAGTATTTACAGCTTAGCAGGCAAATTGTATTTAAGATATATTTTTTTGTACCGTACCTGTGAAGCCATGTCCACCAGCTGTGGAAGCTTCAGATGTTTTCCCTCTCCTTCTTTCAGGAAGTCCAGCAAACTACCTGTTGGAAGTTATTGAAAAAAAAAAAATGAGATTCAAGGAAAAGCAATACATCTATGTGTAAAAAATCAATACAAAGGCAATACAGAGATATACAGCTGTGGTGTGCATGAAAAAGATCACAGGCACAAAGGATCGAGCAAACAGACCCACTCTGAAGAAAAAAAGGATGTTTGCACAGAAAATGGGGACCTTTTTCACCCTTTACTAATCGCAAGTTTCACACTTTTTACCTCGTTAACAAACTGAAAACACAAAATCCATGGTAATTGCAAATGCAATTAATTGCCCAGCACTACAACAGTCATGACATGTTCTGTTGCTTAAACAGAGCAAGAGGCATCTGCCAGAGGAAGTGTCACTTTAAACCAAGGACAATCTGCCACAGTGACTGAGATTTATGGTGTAATGAATGGTTGGCAAGATAAATACTGAAGATGAAGCAATCACCAGCTAGTCAAAGCACATAGTCAGGAATACATAATATTAAGCCCATTTGCACACCTAAATTATTCAGTTAAGGCTTGATTGTCATTTCGCATTTATGATGTTTAAATATGGGTCAATGTGGGCGTAGATTACGCTAAGCAATGTCCAACTGATGAGGAAAGTAGAGACAAAATGTTTGGGAAAAAATGTGCATCATTTCATCTGGAAATTTAACATCCCATAAGATCAACACCGTCTATATCAATGCCCAGATGCGTCAAATTAAACAAAAAAATTGCTTATTTCAACAGTAGAACAAACAGCTTTTTGGTTGCTGTCCACCATCACTGAATGCTACTGCTTTCATTAGGCTGATCTTTTTTTTTTTATAAGATTAGACTCCATCTTTACAAATTGAGCTTATGAGTTAAAAGGTCCTTTTGGTATATGAGTTCATGACTATAGAAAAAAAATAAAAGAACTATAGATTTATATTACAACACACCTTAACATTATTATCTGCTTGATGGTCTCCGGGGAGTTTTTCCTTCACTTAACATAATCCAACTAAAAGCAGCTTAACAGCTTTGTGTATTGCTGTACAGCAGTGATCTGCATCTAACCATCCATTTTTTTTCCAATGTCTCAAACATCACAGGGACATTTTTCTTTAAGATTTGTTTCCCCCCAAAATCATTCACAAGAGAAAAATGTAATATTCACAAAACAATATGCCAAATGAGTCTTTGACAATTTAAACACAATTGAGGACATTTGAAGGGCTTTTTAAAGACATTGCTGACTACGAAATAAATGCTGCAGAAGACACCCATCTTCTTTCTCAAACCTATCAATTCTGGTATCATTTGAAACTAAAGAAGCGTACCTTTCCACAGTATAAAGCACATCTTTGTAACAACTGTTTCAAGGAAGCAATTTGCATGCAAATTGGATATTATATGATTGAGTATTATACACCAATACCTGCAAGTTGAGGAATTAAACAGATGTTTCAGTTGTGTTCATCTTTAAAAATCAATTAGAACAGCCCAAAAACCTTTTTAGCTTTATAGTACATGTCCGCTACTTCATTAGTGTTGTAAAATCAACCACCCAAAGTTCAAAAAGGCAGCATGCTTATATGGAAAGGATGATTCAAGGTCTTTTTTGACTATGACTAAGTAGTTTTATTTCTTTGAAAGGTTTTTTTCACAGATTATCTTTTTTCTTTTCTTCAAAATACAATGCATCAAGTTAGATATAAAAAGAATTCAGTTTTTTTGTTTTTGTTTTTTTATTCCCTTAATTCTATGCCTTTCCCAACTGTCATTCTTTTAATACACAAGTTAAACTCCATGACTATTTCACCCTTAAATACAGAAAGAAATGTATAATGGCCATTTGCACTATTATGGGATCAGGTTCCTTGTAACGGGGGTAAGAAAATGCACCGGTTTGGGAACTTTTGGCTAAATTTCACCAAAATGAGAACTCTTTGATACACTGCCCACTACAACATCATTATTTAAGACTTACTTCGCTACATTTTTAGTGAAGATGTTTATGTATATTATATATATATATTTAAAAAATGGCTTTTTGATGTGTTCACAAGGTTTTAATGGCATTTTTTTTTTCTGAAAAGAAATTTAGATTGGACTAAGTTTATTTACAGATAAATCAGACATAGCTGCAGCCTTGCTTATACATGAAAAGCACCCTTTGATGTCTTAACACCTGGTCAAAAAGGTTTCATTTAGACATTATATCCGTTAAGCTCCTCCTAATGTTTTTTTGTGTATTTTTAGGTGGTAATCATTACGAAAGCTTACTGGGGTTTAACCGGTTTTAAAAGCAACAAGTCTCATTTGGACACACCCCCTAAGGTGTGGGCTTGCATGAAGGTGTTAAAAGAAAATGAAAATAAATTAAACAAAGTTTTAGTTATGGTACGCTAGAGTACAATTTCATTAAGCTGTACAAAATCTTTTTTTTTTTGTCAGGCAAAATTTCTTTAAATCAATTATTTTCAATGACTAAATGCCAAATTAATGAAAGTTACATTTTATTTTCAAAGGGAGAAAACCATAACCATCTTACTATAATTAGCTGTAATTCTGGCCTAATCTGCTTACAGAGCAACAGTCCAGTCTATACCCTACTGATCAAACAGGAGGCTCTAAAGCCTCCTGGATGAGTCATCATACATTTGGAAGACCCTGTGTCTGAGCTTCTAACATCCTGCCTGATGTTTTATAATGTTGCTTCAATACTGACATCTTTCATGTTCTTTCCTCATGATAGTAGGGATTTTGTACAGAACATCGGTCCCCCCTTCAGCAAAACACCCCAACAATGCATTATTTAAACCAAAGGGTATTAAAAAGGAAATCTTTTCATTCTCCAAGTACTCAGCATACAAACATATCACACACTATGAGTCTAATAAAAAAAACAATACAAGCATGGTTGAAAGCTTCGTTTAGCTAAACAAAACCTTATTAGGTGATTTTCCCTTGATAAGTTAGTGTACATAAACCTACTAACATACTAATTAAAGAAAAAGCTAAAACTGCTTTAGAAAATCATTGTTTTATATTCAGTTTTCAACTAGAAGAATTAATGTTGGCAATCCTGAATGATATAAAACAATATAAGCTTATTGTGAATTACATAAAGCAAGTAGTAATTGCCTACATATCTTTGCATACATTCTTTGTAATGATCTGTTTTCAATTAGAGGCACTAACATTTCAAATAAGGACAAATTTGTTATTTAAAAATATAGTTCAGTATTATCACATGGAACCCTTTAACATCATAAGCCTATATTCAGTAGGATAGGAATGTAAGTAGCACAGGCTCTTAAAATACAAAACTGCATGTCTTCTGCTTTAAGACTTGGAACTATGCTTACCTTTACCCATGAACTCTGTTACGATATAAATAGGCTCTTCAGACACCACTGCATAAAGCGGCACCAGTTTATCATGTCTGAGCTTCTTCATGATCTGAGCCTCCTCCAGGAACGCATCTGGAGACATGGTTCCTGGCTTCAGCGTCTTGATGGCCACTTTAGTGGTACCATTCCATGTGCCTGGGTAAAAGAACAAAAAAAAAATGTTTGATAATGCTCTAAATTTAGATACTTAAAATGAGCAAAGTGTTAATACAAGTGAAGACAAGAGTCAATACTGACTGGTTTTTGATAATGCACATATATGAGAAATTTCTTATGGCTACAAAAATCTTCTTAGGAGCAAAAAAGTAAAACAACAAAAAGTAAAAGAGTAGCCACTTCCCGGTTTGGACCCACTTACTCACGCCCTGCTTACATACAATGGGCCCACACTGGCCTTTATAGATGACTCATATTGACCAAACTCAAGGATGAAGGACTAAGTAGGGTAAAGTACAATCGGCATGCCCATGTGAAATCAGGGTGACAGCACAAATGCCCCAGAAGCTGTGGGTAAGGGGGATTGTCAGTGAACAGTGTCAGCAGAGCGGGAAATATCCTGAGCAAACAGAGCAGGGAGAGGCAGAATGAAATTCCTGGGATTACCCAGCAGAGGCTTGCATGTCGCAGCTTGCAGAGGGCCAGCCTCTATTAGAGACAGAGCAACGGAAAAATGAGTCGTGTTCGCTAGGAGGGGCCGGTGTCAGAAGTAGGCGCGAGGAATGAAGCGTGTGATGTGATCTGTGATTACAGGACTCTTTGGTTGTCAAAGAACTAACAGCGATTCAGAGTCAGGCTTTAGCAGTTTGTGGGGCATTGAAGCAGCATGATGAGGGCTGTTCGGAGATCAGCTTCATCACTGACTCGCACCAATTAGTTTACACACATCAAGAGCATTTCACATTAAAATTGCATCTACTCTAAATAATGTAAAGAGGACACTTTATCCCAATGTGTAAGCGTCCTAATGGCTGTGTAACTGCATGCCAACAAAACTATTTGCCTTCTTTACTTATTCATAAGCCAAGTGTTGAGCATCAGTACTTCTAAGTAGATTTATCCTGGTGTTTTGCTGACAAGGGCAGTACAACATAAATAGAAAAGTGGTTGGTGGAAACAAATTAATCCCTTTGTGTCCATCACCGCAAGTAAAAAGGAAACTTTGCTCTTAAGAACTGAAGGAGGCTTTATAATAATACATTGGTTTATACTCGCTGCATTGAACAGAGCACGAGGGTATGCGGGCCAAAAGTGACGCAATTATGCTGCCCCCCCCATCACAGACGGAGCGGAGCGGACAGCCTCGGTGCTAGGTCGCACACCTCGGAATTTTTGTGACTTGGCGCGGACCACGCATGCTAGCCTCGTTTCAAATGTGAGGATATAAAGCCGTTTTCCATTAACAATTTTGCCGGTACTGACATCTAATGGTGCAGAAGTTTAAAGTAGAAAAGTCTGGTTAAATGCAGTGCTGTTACTGTTTATTCAATGACTGAAAACAGCATAAAGAGGCGAGCTTGTGGAATAAATAAAGTCTAAAACAACTATAGTATATAATATATATTCAGCTTTTATTTAGTAAAACAACATTTTTTTTTAAAAATCAAAAGGTCCGCATTGGCTTAAAAGGCAGGCTGGTTTCCCCATCATCACGTCTCTCCGTGTGCAGCAGGTAAAATTACTGTCTTATTCCACCATATATTCCTGTGTAGCTGCCATAAACATACCCACTATTCTTAATTAATCATAAATTCTTAAATAAACAATCCTGCGCTTGTTCAGTTTGGAAGCGAGATGTCAAATGTTTCTTCCTGCATTACTGCTTGTTACGTTGATCACTGCCTCTCTGTGGATTTTGCGAGTGCTTCACCAACATCCACCTCAACTGCAATAGGGTACAGCACTTCTATAGGCTCACGAACAGACCTGCGCGACAACCCCACGCGCAAGTTTCTCTCTGCCTTCAGGCTATTAAAGAAATCCGTTACAAAATTCTACCCTTCTGTGGATCACTCAAGGACTGAAAGAGCAAAAGTATGAGGCATGCAACAGAAAGAGCTCAACACAGAACGATAACATGTATTATCTAAAATCCTTTTGTTTGTCATGAAACATGCTAGATTTAAATGTCAGGAAACTACTGATGTTACCCTTTATTAATTTCGTTGCTGGTTGTGATAACCTCACAGTAGGCATAATTATAACCACAAAGGAGAATGAATCCATTGGTCAGACAGGACTGGATTTTAGGTCAACTGGTGGAGTGTGTTCAGAGTTACCTGGGATGACGTTCAATAAGATGAAAATAAACAAAACTCTAAAGAAGTCAACAAAAAGCAAACTAATCATCGCACTTCCTCAGCAACTTTACAGTTTCGTGTATGTAAAAAGCTAATGATCATTGTTTAGAGTTCTATAATAGAATCTGTTCTTACATTTACTTTTATCACTTTGTTTCGGTAAACTATCAGCAAGAAACAAAAATAAGATGATACTAACTGTTAGTGCTGAATCAATTGAGCTAACAAAAATCAACAAAGGCCAAACTCTTCTAATCCCCCATTTTAATGTTAATTTCCTACCATCTGAACAGAGATTTAAGCTGTCTACGGCAAAGACCTCAGTAGGGTTGTCAAAAGTATCGATACTCAAAAAAGTATAGATTCTGAAATATAATACTCATTTTCAAAAGTATCGATACAGTGCTACTAGGGCTGCAACAACGAATCGATAAAATCGATAATTTCATCATCGATTAGTTGTGTCGCGCGATTAATGCGTCATCCGCCGCCGTCGTCAACCCCACCGCCAACCCCGTTCTCCCGTTCCCGCAGGAGTCCCTCTCAGCGCTGCAGTCAGAGCCGCAGGATGTTTACCCTCAGCGTCCAGACTGCAAATGAAGCGCGCATGCGCCAGGATTGACGGCGCATATTGATCACAGTAATTAAAATAGCCTGCGCTTTGTA